CCAGGGACCCAGGGTTTAGAGGATTTATACCATATATATGTTTATGTTTGCAGTTAGCCAGTTTGCTTAGCTTAACATATAGGCTGGAAAAGGTAGGAAACAGCTAGTCTGACTCTGTGCGAAGGTAATAAAATCTGCAGTTAACCAGCACCTTTAAAACTGTGGACTCAAGTCACATGACTTGGACTCGAGTTAAGCCCGGTATACACTGTGCGATTTTGGGCTGTCCCAGATGAAAGATGACCAGTGTGAAAGAAACGTGATGATATCTTTGGTCGTGGCTTTTACCTGGACTTGAGCCCTTTGACTTGAAGATACTCAATATCTTCCCCCAGGCCAATGTGGGAAGAGAAAGTTATAGGTGTTATCCAAAAACAAAATGAGTTAAATACAAAAAGATAGAACAGATAGATAGAGATTTTCAAAAACGGCTTCCAAAGTGAAAGTTTTTAACAATAAAAACGTCTCCACAACGTCTATGGAGACGTGTAAACAGGATAGACAGAAATTTTGGAAAACGTTGCAACCCAGTTCACGCATGACCATTAGGCGCCCGGGAACCACAACAACAATGGCGGATATATGCCGGGTTGTTTACGTTTTGTTAGCACTTTTGGGACTACTTACGAGCTTACAAATGAACTTAGCACTGCTGCATCAACATCACCACTACATCGGGGAACAAAGACGTCTGCCGTGCCCAATATTAGTAAGTGCATAGCAGCTAACTATGCTACATAAGGTAAAAATGTAGTTTATCATTGTTTTTGTCACTAGCGCAAAGAGGAAAACAAATCACTGTGCATGTGCAGAACGTTTTTCTGTGGTGTTTGACATATGGCGTATTGCCACCTACTGGCCTGGCATGCTAATTGCAGCAAAAAGCTGCTGTTTTTGCTTTTTCGTGTAAACAGAGATATCATTTTCACAACTGATCGTGGCAACCCGGAAATTTTTTTTTATACGGGATAAATAAAAATCTGTTTTTATTTGTATCGATATCTGTGTAAACAAGGCCTAATAAAAAAACATCCGGTACAGGCAGGTAGATAAAAATCCAAATAAAAGCAAAACCAAAACTAAACTGAAAACCAACTGGAGAAAATACATTGAACTCAGGCAAAATGGAGCAGGGACCAACACCGAGAACACAGGGGTGAACACAGGAATAAAAGCAGGGATGAATGCAGGACGGACTGACAAAGAACAAAGGGAAACACACAGGTATATACAAACAGAAAACTAATCACAAGAACGAGACACAGCTGGAGCAGGAGGACATGGGCAAAAGAAAGACTGGGGATTGGTCTACAACAAGGGTGTGGAGGGGAACACCAGGGTGGAGCAAACAAGACTAATACAGAAGTGTGAAAGGAAGGACTAACAAGACAGAAAACAGGCGGGAAAACACAAAAGACAGGAAGTAAAACCAGACACGACACATGAGGAGAGAATCTACAAAATAAAACAGGAGGCAGATTAAACATGAATGAATAACACGGAATAGGAACATAAACAGAATAAAGCCCATAGGATAACAGAATTAAATAAAAACCCAGGATCATGACACATAGATCACATATGTGTATCATTTGGTGTTAACGGGAAAGTCAGTCTGCAAATGACAAAGTTAACGTTCTTTAACCTTCCCTGTACTCATGCTGCTTAAAGACACTGCTGTACAAGATTTATATTCCATGCACTTAGGCGAGGTCACTGAGTTCGAACACTAAAATGAGAAAATCATTCTGTACCTCCACACCAGAGGGGGGCACTGTGGTGCTGCTCGAATCAAGCTGCCCCACTCCCTTTTCTCTTTCCTCCCTCCCTCCTCTTCCCTCCCTCGCTCGCCTCTCTTCAGTGATCACAGCAGTACTGCAGAGAGACATGCCAGCCACTTTGATCATCGCACCAGGGGAGGAGAGGGAGAGGGAGACAGAAGGAGGGAAGAGGAAGAGAGGGAGAGAACGCAGAGACAGGGTATCATGCAGCAAGACATCGAGGCTGATGTTGAATTTGACATTTATTCTACCGCTGATGGAGCGGCAGATCAGCCACCTAATGGAGAGCTAACAGGGAGATAGACAGGGAGTGAATGAGTGAGTGAATGACAGACGGAGGTAGAGAGATCAGATTGAGTGAACAGTGGGGTGAATGAGGAACAAAAATGTAGAGTGATGGAGTGAACAAGGATATGGCACAGTAAATAAGTGGATGAAAGAGTAATTTGATTAAAAAAAAAAAGGACAAAGTGTTCATTGTACAGTATACTTCACCCACGGGTTACACACAGTGTGTAACAGTATTAATAAACCTCGCCAACATGTTGCGGCACACACTGTTTGCACCCTGAGGAAGTTTTGACTGTGCTGCAATGTACTGCTGCATTTTCTACCACTGTTAACCCGACAAGATCAAGCAATTTTAATATTCTCTGTGAGAAAATGTTGTGCAGGGTGAGATGGTGAAGTTGAGCCAGGTTGATAGCCACAGATACTAGAGTCCAGTCAGTATGATGTGTGCATGTAGTGTACGATGACGCTGTATGCTATAGACAGCATGTTCTTATCCCCAGGGTGTCAAATGTTGGATATTTTGGATATCGGAATCACACTAATGACCTGTTTTTGAGGTCACATGAACTGAAATGTAGGGATTTGGTGGATTTTTAAACGGCTGAAGTCATGTAAAAAGCAAGAAATAACTTACTGTCTGGCAACATACAAAAAATGTTCTTGGACAGAGATGGATGAAAAGTGTGTTGATATCAATTTGTGGGGTGAACAAAGCAAAGTTATCGGACAGTTTAAAAAGAGGTACAAAGACGGTATTTTCACAAGGTACAGAAATTATTAGAGGGAATGTAAAGCACACACAGGGTGATGCTGTTGTTGACTTTCTCAGCTTGTACTGTATATTGTTTATGAGGTATTAAGAAGTGCAGTGGTATAAATGTGTGGTTGATCGATGGTGAGGAAAGTGTATTTATGTAATAGCTTGATTAGTGATGGATTAATCTAGTTTGGAATAGGGGGTAGGGCTAGACAAGGATGCTGCTTCTTCCTACTTCTTTAAGGACATGAAATGTTGATTTATGTTTCTCATTGTAAGTTGGTACATTATTTATTGTTTGTCTTTGTTTTGCAGGTTTTAAAAAACTCTCAACTAATCCCAATGTAAACCCTTCCACTGCAAAACTTGTCCCTGAGAGCAACTAATGGGTGGAAGGCGATGTGGACGAGTCAAACAAAGGCATTCAATACAGATGATAGCAGTTCGTGTCCCATGTAAAACCAAATATCAATGCTGTTTTAGCGTAATAAATTGCACACTTTATGTATGGCTGTCATGCATTGACGTCAGTCACATGATGTATTTACGTCACGTTACATAACAACGCATTTCTTTTAACCCAAAACACGATTTTTTGTCCAAACCTAATCCAATAGTTTAATTGCCTCAACTTAATTTTTCACAAAATTATCCATGTGTTTCAGATGTGTGACACATAAACCCTGATTCCGCCAAACACTTTCGGTGTGGTACCTTTGGAACCAAAAGTAACCCTTCAGACGTGGTACCTAGACCCAAGGTTTGTTTCCACCGCCGAAGAGTGTGTGCGCCTCGTTTATCATCCACAGAATGGGGTTGCATGCCGACATTTTAGAACAGGCTGCAGTGAGAGTCTCTCTCCATGGGATGTTTAAACATAGCGGGTTTGTGCATTTAGTCCTCCTTAGGCAAGCTCAGGGGTTTAGTGTTTCCAGAGCCCACAAGAACAACACTCCACGACACTTTTGTTTCTTTTCCTGGAGTGAGGATTAGAATATATGGAGTTCACATAATCCGGTCGAAATTAATACATATAAACACTTGAAGATCCACTCATTACTAAAAGTGTATGTCATATAAAAACTAAAGTGATGGTCAGAGTTGTCGCAGTGACATTTAAGGTGTGTAACATTACAAGTTAACATTCCACCTTTAAAGTTGTTCTCACTCTACAGCTGCTGTGAGAGGCAGCAAAACATCCTCTCATTTCATAGTTACTAATAGTTTACAATAGTTTACTAATAAAACTCTCCACAGTATAAACAGTGGTTACATGAACCTCAAAACCAGACACAACTCAGCCCTGAGCAGAGTGACCGTCCTCTACTGACCAATCAGACTGCAGTGTTCACAGCTCCACCTTTTAGTACCAGATCTGTGTGCTAGGTACCCCAACAGAGGGGGGACCAAAAATGGGAACAGTACAGAATGGTTCCAGTGGTACCATCCACAACTTTAAACAGTGGAAATGAAAAAAAAACGTACCAAACTGCTCGGTGGAAACAGAGGTATACAGATGCTAAAGGGTATATTGTGTGTGACGTCTATATCTGACTCAGAGAGCCACTGACCAAGCTGTGTTTTTTGACACCCTGGGAGTGTGACAAGGCTACTGTGGACTTGTCAAGGCTCGCAATCTAGCAGGTGTTTTGCTTTATAATGAGCATTGTGGAAATAAGAAACCTACGGACGGACGGATCTACACCTGGAAAAAACAGAACTTCATGGAAACCACTGCATTTCTTAGACAGTTAATCGGCAAACTACGATGAAGCCTCCTGGTGGTCACATTTGTTGATCTTTCAACCCGTTCTTCATGTTGTTGGTCATTCTTGTGTCATCTGTTTTCCCACAATACATTGAGAGGCAATTCATTTGGGTCCCACATAAAAGAAAGGGGCAAACTTTGTTTTCTTTGTGTTGCACTTCAATCAGTGATTCTTTACCATGACACCTTTTCAAGATAGTTTCTTTAGTTTGTCAAAGGGTTAAATGAATGACAGTACCCAGCCTATCTCCTGGTTGCGGTCTCTTTCTCGCCTTCTCATTTTTAGAAATGCTATCTGTCTTTCTCCATCTCTTGTTTACTATGTCTTAACGTAGACTGATCCCTCTCTGCTCTAACTAGACTCTTTGATATTTTTAGACCAAACATGATACAACAAACACTCATTCTGTTCCCTACGGGGGGGTTCAATTTTTATTCGTCATCAGGACTTGATGCATCCAAGTTCAGAATCATTCAGTTTTGGCACCTTGAAAGACATTACGCTTTTTTTAAATTCTCATTTACAACAACACAACGCAAAACCAAAGAACAAGAAAAAATGAGACAAAGAAAGAGACTAAGGCTGTGTGAGAGTTCAAAAGAACCAAGAAAATAAAAATTAAATGAAAAGGCAAGATAAGATTTTCTTCTGTTTAAAAAAGCCTTGATACGTTCTCCAAAGTTTGCTCTTTTTGTTTCAAGCGTAATGAAGCCCCACCCCAAATGACCCACTCAAAAAAATTAAGAAAAGAAAAACTGAAATAGACACAGTACTGTAACATTAATTTCTACTTTGTCACCCCCACTGCCCTTACATGGTATCATTGTTCAATTGTTCAAAACATAGGTTCCTTAAAAGCAGATTGGATGATTTTGATTAGCATGCATGTAAATTCTTAATTTTTTGGAGTCACTTAGCTTCACCTCGCTGGTAGCCATGTTCTCTCACGCACTACTTTGTGTCTTTGGCAGTAGTGACGTCTCATTGTCCACAGTCAAGTTTGCCGAGAGATCCTCCATTACCCAGAGTTCTCTCTTCACTCCGCCCCTTTATGGAGCAAAAAAACGTGAGGTCAACTTTTCACCTGTCGTTGACCCTGAACAAGGATGGCTGCCAGGGTTTCGGCGGAAGGCCAAAAGATTTTTTTTTTTGTCGTTGTAAAAGAATGTGATAATGTATCTAATACTAACCAATATTAGTTTATCAAGTAGGCTGAAGCCTTTGCCCGTCAAATGAGCCAGTCACGAAGAATCCTCAGTCTTGGTTTAGTTTCCATGACGACTTGATTTAGTTTCACTTGTAAGTAACTTGTTTTCTTTTTTTTCTTGTTGATATTTTTGCACCAGGGAAGTCTAGTCATGATTTATTAACATATATATTCATATATTTATATATAATCAATACATATATTAACTTATGTGTTTTTTTTCTTTTTTTTTTTCATGTTTTTTTGCGGCCTGAATTGCTCCCTGCTAAAATCCCACACCGCAATGGTTCACAGTATTAATGCGAATAAAGAATGAAATCAAGAAGATACAGCAACTAAAGAAAGGAGTGGGGTTCACGGGAGGTTAGGGTGTGTGTGTTGGGGGGCTTGTGGGATGGTAGTGCGAGGGCGGGATCATAGGCGGGGCCGAGGGGTCAACTACGCCCCCTTTTCATCAGACTGAGGAAGAGTAAAAAATATAAAGTTCACCTTTTAAACGGGCAGTCTGGCCCAGCCCACCACTCTACGGTTCCACAGCCCCGAGACAGACAACCACCAGCCACCCCCCCTCCCGACTCCTCTTTCCCCATCCTCCCCCTCAAATCTTTACAAACATGTTCAAAACTCGTTAAACAATGGTAGATGGGAAAATCATGCATGTTTCTTTTTTTATGCATTTTTTTCGCTGTTTCCTTTTTTTAAACAGAAACTCAGTGATCATCTGAGGTGCTGTGGAGCGCTCAGAACTTCCCCTCTGTTGCTTACCCCTCACTCCATCTATCCATTTAAGCCCTTCCTCTTTCCGTCTCCTTACACCATCGTTTGTCTTTTGCCGCCTCCCCCCAAATTCCCTCTGATTTTTTAGTGTCTGAGGTCCCTCTATCAGTTTCATACAGGTGTGGTGCGTCGGTTGGCGGTGTTGCTGTGGCCGCCTGAGTCTTTCAGGTCCTTCTGGATGCAGTTGTGGACCTGCAGGAAGTTGTGGTCCCTCTCCGTGGAGTTATAGGTGGCTGTCGGGGTACCCGTTTGGCCCTTGGGCAGCGTGTACATGGACAGCTCGGTGGAGGGCAGCGTCCCGAAGGCCTTCAGGCCAACTGGTGATGCCTCGCGGGAGTGCGAGGGATCTGTGGAGCGGGACGAAGAGCGTGAGCGGCGTCGATAACGGTAGCGGTAGCTGGGGATGCGCGTGATGGCCGCACCTTGGAGGTAGTCGGCAGCTCGTGCCCCCACGCGCAACTCCCGATGGCGGTCGATGAACATGTGCACTGCCAGCACACCCACCATTTCAGCCATGATGAAGGAGAGGGCGCCGAAGTAGAAAGACCAGCCGTAGGAGTAGCTGTTCTTCTTGGAGTCACTCTTGGAAGGGTCCCCAGCGTTGGCTGATATGTACACAATGATTCCTATGATGTTGCTCAGGCCTGGGACAGGGAAAGAGGGAGAGAGATTAAATCAAAACTAAAATACAGCCAAACTGTTACTCAAGTAGGCCCACACAGTAAACAACTAAAGTCATCACAGTTATTATCTTTGTTAGCTTAAAATAAAAAATACAGAAGCCTAAGATAAAGAAACTCGCTCCTCAGCTTTGACTGCTGGAGTCATTTTTGCCTTTTTCTTTACAGAAAATTCCTCAAATTTATTTCTATTGAACACAGGTGATATTCTTGAACTTACTTGTGACATGAAAGAATACAAAAGTGTAACTGACTTAGTTTTTATCAGTTTTTATTGTCATCCACCAAGTCAAGTGGCCGAATAGCTGTCAGACAAAAAAGATGAAGACAGCTGATTAATGACTGTAAAAGAGAACTGAAATCTCCTTCAAATAAACTTGTAACTTACTAGATAAGTGTGTCAACACAAGGAACATGAAAAGAATCAGTTGTAGTTTCTCTGCAGGTCACCCTTCCTTGCCTTTCCTATCTCCAACAGAGTTCAAATTCGCCGCCAGTCTCTCTCATCTGTGTCACCTTTTCTCTCTATCTCTGTTTCATCATTCCTCCCCCTATTTTGATCGTCTGTCAGTTTTGTCATACACCATCACTCTGGCTGTGCGTAGCCAGAAATAAACACATGGCCAGACAGACAGACAAAGGGACAAATATGCAGACAAACAGTGAAAAAGGTGCTGTATGAAAAGACAGAAAGGCAGACTGAAGTGTGAGAACTGTGAGGGCCTGATTGAGATGGATCAGAGCAGAAGAGTATCAGGGACACCTTATTTTTAGAGTGTAATCCCAGTGGCCTCCTCTTAGCCTAGCAACAGGACGAGAGAGACAGACACAGACAGCGAGAAAGAGAGAGAAACACAGAGAACTGCATCTCTCACTTCTGACTTGGAGGGGAACTAGTTATCTAGCGCAGCGCAGTAGGCCATGGCCTAGAACCAGAGTACAAACACACACATGCATGCACGCACAAAAACACAAAAACGCTCCGGCAAGAATGGCAACCTGCGCTATCTTTGTCTCCCTAGCTTCGTCCTGAGGTGATTGTAGCATGCTACGCACACGTCATAAGCTACGCAACACATCACCTGGTGGTCAGCAAGCGCCAGCGTGGCTTCTGTTGTCTCCGAAACAGGACATTTTCATTTTCAGTTGCTCCACAACAGACATTTGTGTCTCTTAAATGTCTCGATTCTGTGCTGTCGCCAGTGTTTTCTGCAGCTCTACCTCCTCCTCCTCACTGGGTCTTTAATTTTCTTTTATATACTGATAAATAACAATGTCAAGATTATTTTTTCCATGGAGTGGTGAAGCATTGAGTCTCCAGTAAGTCAATTGGAAAAAAATGCCTGTTTTGTTTGTCTTTAAAGAGTAACTTTGGTATGTTTCAACCTGGACCCTATTTCTCCAAGTTTTTGTATCGAAGTGACGAATGGGAACAAGAATACCTGAAACTGACTGCTAAATGTGAAATTTGCTGACTCCATAGACACTAAGGCAGCTTTCAGACCTAGAGTTCATTGCTTTGGTCTGAATCAGGGACTTATTTTGTTACAAAGTTGCACAATTGCCTGGAGTTGGTTCGTGTTCTCACGGCAGCATTTACAAGCACACCAGATAAAATGCCTTGCACAAGAAAGCTGCTCTTGATTGGTGATATTGGAGATATACAGGAAGTAAAGCAAACGCTGAAGAAGAGTACACTTGCAAGATAAATGTGACACTTTCTAATGTCACAATGGAGCGACAACTACGCAGGTTGATTTTAGCGCTGCTCATCGTGGACTATATTGCTGTCATTGTTCATTTTAGTCAAACCATACAGTTTGAAAACGAGGCGCGGCTCCAACTAGAAAACAATTTTTTGATGCATTGGATGTGCTGAATGTGCATATTAAGGCAGTACAGGAGGAGGTGCACATTAATAATCCTCCAGGACTGTAACATGCTCATGTTTAACCCAAACAATGTGTCATGTGACTGCAGTTGGTTCAGATCCAGGTTGGAACACGTTCTCATCACAACGAACCGCACCAGAGCTCGTTTGTAACCAGACTAAGACCACCTCTTCAAGAAGGTCATGTTTCGAGCCGCACTGAGGGGGCAAATGAACTTGAGTTCGATTGAACTGAACCAAACAGGGCTGGTGTGAAAGGACTAGGGATGTCAAAAATTCAGTAGTCGGTGCCGATACCAGTAAAATTACATAATACTCTATACCAAAGTCGATACCACGGTAAAAAAAAAATATCCTAAGATCCCATGTACAAGAAATAGACACGCATGCGCAGTCACGTACTGCTGAGAGTGAAACCCCTGAGCGTTAGCTCACATGCGGCTTGTTCAAGCTGTTCTCTGTGTTATTGAAATGAAACAAAATAACATGGAGCATATCTGCTTATTATGCTACTGATTTTAATTGGGATGTTTTTTGATGAACTGAACAAAGCTGGACAAAGCTCCACACGGAGCACGGATGGTTCAGAAGCAATTCAGAATGAGTTAAAGCAATTAATAAACAGACAAAGTGGTGTTTAAAACTGCATATATTAATAGCAGATCTATTTTCTGTCCTAAAGTGCGGCCGTGACTGGTTCTGAATGTAAGCTTTAGCAGGCAGCTGCTCTCTCCTCTTCCTCGTCACGCCCTCGCTCTGAATGTAAGCATGGACTGTAACGCTATATGGCGTATACTGCCTCCATCAGTTCCAGAAGAGTCATAGCACTGACTCCTATGCTGGTATCGGTTCTTCTGGTTTTTCAAAAAATTAGTATCGCCGGGTTTTTTTCATCATGGTATCGAAAGGTATCGCGAGTATAGGTTCTCATGACATCACTGGAAAGCACCCTAAAATTACTGCTTATCTAAACAGAGCCTGGTGGGTTTTGTAATAGCCATATCAGGGCTGTTTCACACACCACTCTCACAGTGTTGGTTTTGGCCACAGTATACAGTTGTTTTCAGTGAAAATTTTAGCAACCAGCTTGTGAACATAGTGAAGCAAAGATATTTCTCTCGGGAGCTGGTGGAGAAAAAACAGCTGAAAGAAGTGTGGACATTTCATTTACATTTATCAAGTGGCTAGAAACATGACCCCAATTAGATAGTGGCTCTTTCACCACGATATGTAGATACTGTAAGCTTTGCTGACACGTTAGCGCTTTCAGCTTTATACGGTGATAGCCAATAGGTCAGTGTTACAGCTTGTTGCGCTGCCCTCAAATGGCCCAAAAATCAATGATTGCAGGTTTAAGGATAACATCTTTGTATTGTCGCCTGTCCTACCCAAAGAAAATATGTTGATTCCAAAAGCAAATTGATTTTCTGAAGACGCCTTCCATCATTTCTCCTAAAGTACACCCAATAAGCCATACGCCTACCCATCTTCCTTTCTTTCATCCTTTTCATTCATCCTTTCTTTCCTCTATCTTCCTTTTTTTCTATTTCTTTGTCCTCGTTCCTGAACCTTCCTCCTTTACTTTTGCTCCCCGCAAACACTTTCACCTTGACACCTTCGCCTCATTCTGCCATCCCTTCCCACTCCCTCCTTCCCTCACCCCTCCTTGCCTCCTTCCTCTCCTTCCCTTCGTACCTGCGGAGACGAAAAGGATGCCAGCGCTGAGGATGATGTTGTGGCGTGACTTGTAGAACTCGCTGGCGGCGATGCACAGCCCCCCCATGAAGAGCAGGATCACACTCAGGATGGGGAAGATACTGGAGGCTCGTACAGCGCCTGGACACACACACACATCAAGGGGAAAATTATTGTCATTGTCAAATGTCACCATTGGACACATGCTGAAGATAGAATTATATTACAAATAGTATGAACTACCAAACAATAGATGATATGCATGAAAGACATTTAAATGATTAGTAATGAATTGCTCCCAGGTATGTTGGAGGTTGGAAGTCAATCTACCACCTTCAAGTACATTTATACAATGGTCAGCAGCAATGCAGTCAGCACACATCAGCGATTGGATCCTTTGAACAGAATATGCTGCATTATATTATCCTAAACCTTGACTACTACTTCGTCATTACCCTTTTTTCCTGTCTTGTCTTCCTTTTCGATCTCTCCCCCATTGTGTAGTGTGTCTCCTTCCATCACGCCCCTCTCCATTGCTCTATCACTCCATCTCTCTAACTCTCCGTCTGTCTCTGTCCTCTTTCCCTCCCCTATCAGTCTGTCCATCAGCTGTCTGTCTGTTTGCCCTCTGCGTGGCTGATTTGCTGATTGGCCTCTGGGTTGTCATGGTGCTGCCGTGGTCACGGAGCTTGATCTGGTTTCTGAGGCGACCAATGCCACATTCCTGAACTTTTGCCGGCTTCCCTGCCGATACCGTTCCCTTGCATGAGTCTGCTTTCCTTGTTAATGATATCATATTCTTCCCTTGTCTGCCTGTATCTCTTTGTCTGATTCTTTGTGAAAACACAAATTAATAAGACAAAATAGAGCTAATGTTTTTCATTAATGTCACTGAATCCATTTGCAAAGAGTGTTGTGAACCACTACAACTTGACATTTACTGTGTTGGGAGACACTTTCCCTGCTCTGCTATTGAGAAATGTTTGTCAGTTCAGTTAAGGCTCTTTTATACGTATGACAAAGGTTGTAAATGTCACTGTCCTCATGCGTCCATGCGTCCTTTATGATGGCACAGATACAGCCAATAGATAGCACTGGAGGGCAGAGAGAAGGTTTCACACGACAAACAAGGTGCCGTCAGAGGTCGTAATATTGTACCTTTAAATGAAGGCACTGTTGTAGACTGTGGTGGTCTGTGTGGCCATTATATATACACCCCAGCATGTGGACAGAGAACTCTTTTTACTGTATCACTGATTCGTTCCGTTCCGGCATTATTTGAATTTCTTCGTTGTCTCCTACGGCCATATCTCGCTTGAACTACACTACACTGCCTCAAAAATCTCCAGTGGTACTGCTGCGTTTTATCCGCATCTGTAAGGTTTTTAAATGAATGCAGAGCACAGACAGCAGGCTCTGACCATCTCCACCTATGTGTCTAACTTTGAGCATAAATGAGCCCTTAATCTTCAACTACTAAAATAAATATTTTTGTTTAGCATACTTGTTTGTTCACCTTCAACTGATGGCTGATTAAAAGTTATGGAATATTTTCAAGAAGGACCTTTCACAAACATTGGAATTGCAACATTAGGTAATTGGCAATTTACACAGTAAGTTGCAGGATCTAGTCACAGTTTGGGTTAAAGGATGATCCCTTTTTCATACTGGATACTGGATATTGCATATTGTATGATTATTAGTTATATTTATCATTAGTATTATTATTGTAGATTCGGCCATTATTCCCATCAGTAATAATGATTGCCTGGGTCTGGAACTTCTAATCCGCTCACTCCCCTGCCTGTGACATGAAACAGCTGTTACTTAAGCCCCTTCTACACAGCCTATTTGAGGTAGTAATGTCATGCCGATATTCTGCCTCGCTGTTTTTTACATAAGGTACAACTGTGGAATGGCGGGGCAGAGCTGTCTCGCCTTTAATCTGGCAGCGGAGGTAGTAACAACACCGAATCGGTGTCTGTGTAAAGGGAACAGTTGGCAGGATGGGACCATGGACGGGACGAGTGTGACATTTAGATGATGTGCTATGTGTGCAACCCACTGCCGGTGAGATTTAAAAAGAAGCTAACAGCAGTTAGCAGCTAACTCAAAAAAGAATAACGGCAGCTCCCTACCTTGCAAGCAAAGGACAAAATCAGTCGCTATACAGCTGATGCTGTTGTGATGCTGGCATGCTATCTAATGTCACACATGGGAGCAGCATGATGCCGACGTTCATCAGTTATGAGTACAACTGCAAAAGCGGCGTAAAGAAGGGATTCTGTAGCGGCCCTATAGTGCAATCTCTGCATAAAAATTTGAAAGTCCCCATGCAGCGCTCATTGAATCACCTGACTAACACCATTGTCAAGCTGTGCATCGGAACAAATGAGGAGTGACACATAATGACAAAAATGCTGCTATTGAGGCTGTCCTAAATCAAAATGTCTTCTCAAAATCACCCATCATCGTACTCTATTTTTCACTCTGTGCGGCTTCACTCTTTAAACCCGGCAGAACAAGTGTGTTAGCATGGCTACTCATCAGTGTGGACTTAAAATGACGTTAGATTCAGGCCGATACTTTGGTGTCTTAGTCAGGGAAAAATCAAACCCCTCCCCCACGAAAGCAATGTCAGACTGAAGATGAAACTTAGTGTAACAAGTTGACAATTTGCCTGACATCATGCAATATTGATCGCATTATCCTCAGCAACATCACGAAATAAAGAAACAAGAAACACGTGCAGTCAGTCAGATTTTATTATGTATTTGGAAGAAAAAATTGTACCTTCTAGTTCATTGTTGACGTGCTGTATTTGCCATTCCTGTGTGTGCAGGTCTCTGTTCAATGAGGGATTATTACCAACATTTCTAGTGCGGTAATGTGAGTCACACAGTCCAGGTAAACTCTTGACTTGATTCAACTCTGTTGTAGAGATGTGCTCCTCGAGTACACTGTTATCCTCACTCATAGAAATGATGGCCAAAGCTGGCAAGATTAGACTTAAATCATAATAAATACTTTTACTGTCTTGCTCATGGGAACCTAAAAATGGCTGTTTGAGGAAGAAAAAGCATGTCACTCATGCTCGTCCTTGATCTTGTTTCTAATTACGAAAGGGATAACTCCTTGTTACTTTATTCTTTCCATCCCTGTCTCTCTGCCTCTCTTCAGTACGGCCGGACTGTGATGGTTCCATTCACTGAAGCAGATCAAATATTAAGGTGACCTCAGAGTTGGCACTACACCAAGTTTCCCCTCCTCCTCCACTTCCATCGTATTTTTTTTAACTCCATCTCGTCTCCTTCATTGACATGTCCTGTCAAGGGAAATTGTCTTCAAGGTGGAAAGCCCCCTGTACCAACCACATACTGTATGTGCACACACACACATCTTTTTTTTCTCCAGAGTAAGCGGAAATGCCTCCTGTCACACACACGTACACACATACACACACCTGTACTACGCTTGATTTATCACTCACTAGAGGTGTACACACAGCTGGCTGAGATTCCCTACTATGTTAAGAGACACACACACAGGATATACTCCATTCTGGACAGCACATAATAAACGGCAGCATGGTTGTATTTTGTAATCAAATTTTTATTGACTATTACCTCAGCCCTACCTGCTACAGTTACTGTTGTTGCACCTGTCAAGCTTTGCATTCCAGCACACAGCATATGCAGTGTTCAATGACAATAGCGGCATATTTGCTCCTTGATGTTCACAGTAATTTTTTAAACACTGTGTCCACCATGTCAGAGTGCAATAAGACAAACACAGGCTAATCATTTTAACACATCGACTGATGTTACTTGGCTGAACTGACAGCAGATTTTATCAGCTGTCAGCCCAGTCACCAGTTTCTGCAAACCACGGATAGGTTACATTTGTATATTGCATCAACGTTTGACATCAGTGTTTCTACAGTGACATAGTATTTGAGTTGACTTTGTCATCAGGAGTTGAAAGGGATAAAGGATGGCATGACACCTAAGCAAGCCATGCTGCAGACCACTGTTCAATACTAGCAAACAACGAAACTGGTTGTGATTTAATGAGCCATGGCTGCAGGGTTTTTTTTGTTTTTTTTTAAAATGTACTTATTTTCTACTTAAACACTGCTGCCTTTCAGCCGGGATAATGCCACCAAAAGTGTTTAATTTTTACCAAGACATTCCTGCATTTCCAGTTGAGACAGTGCCACAAAAGTGTTTTTCTTTTACAGAGACATACCTGCATTTTCCAGCTTTTTTTTTTCTCAGCAAAACACTGCTGTATTTCTTGTAGTGATTGTGCCACAGGAAAGCGGTTGGTTTTTGTGAGGACATTGCTTCATTTCCTGCCTGGATAGTGCCTTGAAAAAGTGATTATTTATTTAATGAGACATCACTATGTTTCCAGCAGTGATTGGGCCACCAAAACTGGGTATTTCAAGCCAAAATGTGACTTTGAGTTGTCTTGCTTTGTTCTGAATCAGGGACTAATTTTGGTACAAAGTTGCATAATTGCAGAGATAGTTTGTGTTCTCACAAGTGTACCAGATAAAATGCCTGCACAAGAAAGCCGCAGATGGTCAGAATTTCCTTGCGGGAAACCAAACGTTGAAGAGTACACTTGCAAGATAAATGTGACACTTTCTAATGTCACAATGGAGGGACAACTACGCAGGTTGATTTTAGCGCTGCTCATCGTGGACTATATTGCTGTCATTGTTCATTTTAGTCAAACCATACAGTTTGAAAACGAGGCGCGGCTCCAACTAGAATACAATGTTTTGATGCATTGGATGTGCTGAATGTGCATATTAAGGCAGTACAGGAGGAGGTGCACATTAATAATCCTCCAGGAATGTAACATGCTCATGTTTAACCCAGACAATGTGTCATGTGACTGCAGTTGCTTCACATCGAGGTCGGAACACGTTCTCACCACAAACGAACTGCAGCAGAGTTCATTTGTGACCGAAATGAGACCACCTCTTCAAGAAAGTCTTGGTCCGGTTGTTTTGGTGTGCACCTGAGTGCGATTACTGTGTTCACACCTGCCCAAACAAACCGCACTTAGATGGGAAACAAACCTGAGTTTGATTAAAGCAAACCAAACCATATCAGCATATCAGCTACATA